TGTGACTTCCCCTGCGGCGCAGGGGCGGCCGCCGTCCTGAGGATGGGAGAGCAGCTCCGCGTCCTTGCTGAGTAAGTCCCAGCACCAAGCGAGCACTCCTGACCAGCGTGCAGCCTGTGGGGCCATGATGGTGGCACCCAACCTGGGGGTCCGCTCCCTGTGCACAGCCGCCTCGGCCCTTCAGGATGGCTCATCCCCCTTCCCCTCAGGGATGGGGAGTGGTGGCTGGTGGCATCTGAGGTGTCCGGCAAGGAGTGCCACATCCCCAGCAGCTGCGTGGCCAAGGTCAGGCACAGGTAAATGCTGGGATGGGCCCCAGGGGACATGGCCCCACTGCAGAGAGCCTGGGCAACCCCAACGCCAAACCCCGGCCAGCAAGCCGGGGGTGCAGCATGTCCTGCCCCATTTCTCTCCCTGGGCTGTGGAGGGGCATAGGGAGGTGTCACGGCGTGCCAGGGTGTCCCCAGGACATGCACTGCTGCACCCCAAGCTGTCCCCGCCAGCCCAGCCAGGGCAGGACAGGCCCTGGGGTGCTGGGTGTCCCCATGCAGCCGAGAGAGGCTCAGCCAGCGCCCACTGCCCGCGCAGGTGGCTCTATGAGGGCGTCAGCCGGCAGAAGGCGGAGGAGCTGCTACTCTGGCCAGGCAACCGCAGCGGGTCCTTCCTGATACGGGAGAGCCAAACCAGGCAAGGTGAGAGCCCTCAGGCCCTGCCTCCTGTACCCCTTCGCAGCTGTCCCCACTGGGGTGCCAAGTGGGGCCCTAGTGGGGCTGATCTTCACACGGCAGTTTCCTGGCTCCCCGCTTCGTGCTGAGCCTCTGCCACGGGGCCTCAAAAGCAAAAACCACCAGCAGGCTTCCTGCAGCTTTTGGTTAAGCAGAGAAGTGAAATGGCTCAGCCTCTGTTAACAAAATGGGGCCCTCATCACGAGGAGGTGCTGAGGGGACCCCGCAAGGAGATCCTGCCCCATGCACGCGGCCCCGTGGCGAGAAGGGTGCTGTTGGCCGCCCCCCAGGGCAATAAAAGCCCCTGTGTGGGAGAGCGCTGGGCAGTGGGGCTGAGCGGGGTGGCTGCTGGTGGCAGTCTGGCCACGCGTCCCTTACCCCGCGTCCTGGCAGGCTGCTACTCGCTGTCGGTGCGCTGCGGCGAGCGCGCCAGCTGGGACTCGGTGACACACTACCGCATCCACCGCCT